ATTGGAGCATAATGCGTTTTGGGCGATTAAGAAGCTAAATTTTGATCTTGAGGCATGCAAGGAGACACGAATCATGCAGCTCAACGAGCTCGATGAATTGCGGTTGAATGCATATGAAAGCAATTGTGTTTACAAACAAAAAACCAAGAGGTGGCATGACAATAAAATATTGTATCGCGAATTTCACAAGGTTCAATTGGTACTACTTTTCAACTCCCGTCTCAAGTTATTTCCAAGAAAAATCAAGTCAAAATGGTCCAGGCCTTTTACTATACTCGAAGTATTTCTGCATGCCGCCGTCGAGTTATTGGATTCCGAAACGGAAAAATATTTCAAGTTCAATGGGAAGCGCCTCAAGCATTATTGGGGAGGAGAATTTAATCGCCAAGTGGCTTCGGTCACTTTAGCTTGAAGCAAATAAGCAAACAAAGTCTGCCTGAAGACTCTAAACTTAGCGCTTCTGGGGAGGCAGCCCGAGCTTTATTGTTTTTGTATTTTTCTTTAATCTTGTGTATTTTTTTATTCGTATAAGCATGCATGATAATTGATTTTGAATTTTCGGGGTTGAAAGCGTGGTCAGAGGGTCCAGACGGATGTCCAAAAATACAAGCAAAAGCCCAGACGGCGGCTGTCTGGGAAACAGAAGGCCAGACTCAACACCACCACGTTTGAGACTCAACACCACCACGTTTGGTTCATAATCTCAGACGGCTGTCTGAAATCTAGAGCCTAAAAGTTGAGTCTCTGCATTTGAGACGGCCGTCTGAAATATAGCTTAAATTTCGAGACGGTCGTTCGAAATCCAGAGACTTTGCTTTTGAGACGGCCGTCCAAAAATAAGTGCATATTCCGGGATGGCCGTCCGAAACAAAATTAGGGTGTATTAAAAAAGGGAAAATCAGATTGAATTCCCACAATTCTCAAACCCTTCTCCTACTTCTCTCTCAATCTCCCAAGCTCCATAAATATAATTTTCCAATTTCCCTTCAAAAATTCACAAATTTCACTCACAATTCTCAATCGCCACTTCTCTTAATCCTATATTTCGTTGGTATTGACAGGGAGGCTAAAGAATGGAACCAAATTTTCCAAAACCTAACTCTTCAAAGAACGTCCACAAGGTGTTTGATAAATTGCTCCAACCATGTTTGGGAGTTCATTTCTCGTCCAATTCTCACCAAATCTCTTCGAAGCATTCCAACTATGTCGTCCCAAAAGAGAGGCCCCACGAGTGAAGCATCATCTTCAATAGAGAAAGGAAAGGGCAAGAAAGGATCCACCAAGGCGATGATTCCACAACCCGACAAGGAAGCTTTTAGTGTCGAAGGCACCGCCGCCCTATTCGAAAAAAAAACCAAGAAGAATGTGAACTGGAGCCTATTTACAGCATCTCAATCGTCCCTACTACACTTTGCCAACCTTTAATCAAGAAATCATAAGACGAGGGTGGCAAAAGTTATGTGAACTGGAGCCTATTTACAGCATCTCGATCGTCCGAGATTTTTATGCTAACACGTTGGTACTCAAGCCTCCAAATAATTTCATAAGTGTAGTACGAAACATATATGTCAAGTGGGAGACGGACGCTATCAATCAATACTACGGGCTCCCGTACTTAGGTCAAAGGTGGAGAGCAATGCGAGATGAAGTCACCAAAGATCAAATTGGTGAAGTGTTATGTGATGGGCATCCAAATGTGGACTGAATACCCGGATAAGGGGACGTATGAGCTCAATTGGAAGAGCATCAACTATGAAGGCAAGGCATGGTTGATGTTCATTAGCGCCAACATGATCATGACTACCTCTTTTAGTCGAATCAACCATGAACGGTGTGCTCTTGCATATTACATCATCACATGGAAGTCGATCGATGTCGGATCGATCCATTATACACGATCAACTATGGCTGACAATGCACGGCAACTCAAAGGGAATCTTCTTGCCTAGCCTCGTCACGAGGTTGTGCAAAAGAAAGAAAGTCCCCAAGAGACCGAACAACATCGAGCTCAACATCCAGAAGCCGATTGCCGATTTTGCGGCCTCGCAATTCAAGGAAGCAATCAATGAAAAGCCATAAGCCTTGGCCGAACTTGAAGCCGCTCCTCAACCTCAAGCAAGAAACGACCCCGAAGCCTCAAGCTCACGTGCCGATCGACGATTCCGAAAGAAGATACGAGGAACCGGTTGGCTACTGTCGAGCATAAAGTCAACACGGTGGAGACACTTCAAAGATGGTCGGGCAAGATGCTACAAGCTATCGTACAACACTTGGGATGCGGGACGCCCGATTGTGTCGAGCCGGGACCTTTACCGACGTTGATTCTTGAACCCGTACTCGAGCTTTCCGATGATGAGGAGCGTGAGAGAACTATGGAGGAGCACCCCGATCACATCGACTCCGACTAGTCAGGTGTTTTCTATCCTTAAACGTTGCACTTATTTCGTTGAGGGCAACGAAAATTTTAAGTTTGGGGGTGGGAAACCTGTTTTTGCACTTATTTGCTTTATTTGCATGCCTTAGGTTTTTATTTTAGATGTTTTATTTTATTGCTTGTTTATTTTCTTTATTTGCATGCCTGAAGTTTTTATTTTAGGTTTTTTTTGCTTATTTGCTTTACTTGCATGCCTTAAGTTTTTATTTTACATGTTTTATTTTATTGCTTGCTTATTTGCTTTATTTGCATGCCTTAGGTTTCTATTTTAGATGTTTTATTTTATTGCTTTTATCGTAAAAAAAAAATTAATTGCTCAAAGTCAAACGCATCGATGAGTTATGATGATGAGAGATGATCAATGTTTGATGATGAGATTGTCTTTTTTATGTTTTGAGAAGGATTAGATGTTTGTTTAGCTTTCGATTCAACGGAACTTAGAATCAATTATTGCTAGGAATCACTTTTAGTGCATTGCTTTGGTTGAATGTTTTGCATTTTAAATTTGGAATTAATTTGTGTTAGATGATGCTATGTTCGGTATTAGAAGTCACCTTAGGAAATTTATGATACGAAGTATTGAGTAGTGAGTGATTTGGGATATGATTTGGGCCTTCTTTGAACCGTTAGCTTTGAGCCTTTCAAGCCCTTTTTATCGAAATTATCCTTAGAACCTTGATTTGAGCCTCGGAGAAAATGTGTTATTTCTTTTACCCAATGGGTATCAGGTAGAATAGATGGAGATTCTTGAAAAATTACCCCTTGGAGTTCGGTTGGAAAATTTTATAAGGTCTTTCTTCTTCCTCTTCCAAAAAAAAAAGAGAAAGAGAGAAGATGAAGAAGAAGAAGAGACTAGAAGGGAGAAGAAATGACTAGTTGTTGAATTGTTTTTTAAAGTTGGATCCACTGTCTTAAGAGCAAAATTGGAGACTTTTGAACTCTTAAGAATCGAGTTTATTAAAGTCCTTATAGGTGAATTCATTGTTTCAAACGCCTATCTTTCAAATTTTTGGCGTAATCACCTCAATTGAAGAAGCATAGCCACTTATACCCATATTTCCTACCTCGAACCAAAGAGCCTAACAATTGAAAGACAAAAAGCCCCAATGCTCCCAATAGCTTAATATTTGGTATTAGTAGAGTAAAAGAATTTGGTGAGTATTTGGAGTCAAAAATGTGCGTGTAAGCATAATTTTTTTTCTATCTTTAATTAGCAAATATTGGATGCTTGAAGCAATTGTATGATTTGTGGTTTTTGGCAATGGCAAGTGACTAAGTGCTTTTGAATTTTGAGCTTGCGAATACCTAAGAATTTTCATTATAATTACAAGTTCTGAAAATGTGAAGTTGGTCATTAATCTATGTGATGAGATGCAGTAGTTGATTTATTTGCTTACGATTAGTTTTTGCTCCAGGACAAGAAAAAGTTCAAGTTTGAGGGTGTGTTAAGTGTATATTTTTACACTTAATCATATCTTTTAATTGGAGCTTTTGGTGTATTTTATTGATAATTGGTGGTTAAAGTGTTGATTTATTGTGTTTTAGGTACAAATTGAAGTATTGGATAAATAGAGAGTCAAAACTGCAATTTAGGAGAAAATATGGGCGAAAAGTGAAGAAGTCAAAAATCTGAAGGATAAAGGCCCAGACAGCTGTCCGAGAAATACCCTAGTAATTCGGACGGCCGTCTAAATATTTTCATGAGAGAACAAAGTCTCTGGAATTGAGAGGGTCGTCTGGAATTTGAACTGCAAATCCAGACGGCCGTCCGAGAAGACATAGAGGTGCAGTAAAGGAATCTTAATTGCACAAGGAAACTACCTTCTTTTCCAAGTTTTCTACCATATATAAGACCAATTCAAGCACACAATATAGAATCAACTTTTTACACAATTTTAGAGCAAGAGGAGCAAGGGAACGAAGACTTGACGAATCTTCATCATAATTCTTCATTTACTTTTCTTTTCTACTTTTATGAATTTTCGTATTTTTATTATATTTTTCGTAGAGAACGTGAGTAGCTAAGCTTTTAATCTAGGATTTCATTGGAACCATATGTGGTGTTTCGAACCTATTTTTCTAATATTATCCAAGTTTAAATTCCATGATTATATCTTTTATTTGATCTTATTTAGTGCATGAATCTAGGTAATTTATGTTGCTACTGAGATAATTTGTGAGTGTGTTTGTGAGGTTTGTGAGAGTGGGTGGGTTTGGGAGTTTTAGAGAAAGATAACATTTTTTTCGAATGGAGGGTATTTGTATAATTAGAGCCCTGAAGATTATTTATTTCAGCTTCTCATATAACCATTAGAGGAGAATATTTGTATTTTGAGGAATAAAAAGTATAGTTTGTATATTAAGAATTGGAGTAGCGGGTGGTATGTGTAATTTCCGCACCCAACTAACTCTGCGCGCATTTAAGGTAAACTTGGATGTAAATGGTGAAACAATGAAGTCAATGGACGGGCCACTCAGTTGGGCTTCTTGGTCACAAGCGTAATTATGTACATAAATAGCTCCATACATACATATTTATAATTTATTATATATAGAGGTAGACAATTCCAAAAGAAACAAAAGCAAAAGAAAACTAAGCTACAAAAAGAGAGAGGCTGAAAATCTGCGGCTGAAAATCGACTTAAACCAATCACTATACTCTCTATGCTTTGAAACACTCTCTCATCTTTTTTTCTCCGCCCAAATTACCCAACAATGTCCATGGCCATTTTCTCCCCTAAACTTCCATTTTCTTCTTCTTCGCACTCTTATGCCAAAACCCATTTGAGTTTTAAAGCTTATCTTCCTATCAGAGCATCGAAAAGCCTCCAATTTCACTTGTTTGCGAGCTCTGATAATGGCTCTGGTGTGGCCGCCGAAGATACTCCTCTGACTTCTTCTGAGGAACCGGTGGTTGTCACAAATGGGTCTCCGACTCCGACTCCATCGCCACCCACGGCGGCTGCGGCGGCGGATCCGGTGGTGGTGGAGACTGTGAACAGCTTTAAGGACGCCAGATGGGTCGGAGGGACTTGGGACTTGAAGCAGTTTGGTAAAGATGGCCAGACTAACTGGGATGCCGTCATTGACGCTGGTCTCTCTCTCTCTCTCTCTCTCTCTCTCTCTCTCTCTCTCTCTCTCTCTCTCTCTCTCTCTCTCTCGTGTTTATTAATTTTAATTTTGTTGGTGCAACAATTAGATTTGATTGAGTTTTTGGTGTCACTACTAATTTGTAAATAGTAGGATTTGTAAATCTACGTACGTAATTTCCTCATTTTGTATCAGTTGCTTTGAATTTATCCATATAAATCCTTACTTTAATCCTATTTGCAATTTGGCATTCCTTCCTTGAGCAAACTAAGCTTTGATATGAATATAACAGATTTTATTTCTATTACATGGTGCATAAATCATTTAAGTGAAACATTTCGAGAGAACAAACAATGTGCTTGATTGATGCTTTGTGGTTTTAGCTCGATCTGATGATTATTCTAAATATAATGAATCAGTATACATTACATTGTTGTCGAGTTAGTTGAGCTTGTTCTTGTTGGTTTAAAAAAGAAATGGTTTTTATAATATGCAGAAGTGAAGAGGAGGAAGTGGATGCAAGACAATCCACAATCATCAAGCAATGAAGAGCCCGTAATTTTCGACACATCCATTGTACCTTGGTGGTCTTGGGTTAAAAGGTTTCATCTACCTGAAGCCGAACTTCTTAATGGTTGGTTTTGTTACATTTCTTTTTATTGATGATTTATAATATAATATAAAATGGTTCTGAAAAAATGGAATGAAATAAAAAAATGCAGGGCGCGCTGCGATGGTGGGATTCTTCATGGCGTATTTTGTGGACAGTTTGACAGGTGTAGGTTTAGTGGATCAAATGGGAAACTTCTTCTGTAAAACATTATTGTTTATAGCAGTAGGGGGTGTCCTTTTGATACGAAAGAACGAAGACATTGAAAAAGTTAAGAAATTACTTGAGGAGACCACTTTCTACGATAAGCAATGGCAAGCTACTTGGAAGGAAGAGGCACCACCCACCACTCCCGCTGCAAAGAATTAATTATTGCTCTGTAATTCAGACCACAATATTGTTCTCAAAATGCTATGCGCTCCCTAATTTTTATTTTTTGATAGCTGGTTTTGTAGCTGCTTTATTATTGTAGCAAGTATGTACAATTCAGACAATTTGTGGTCGGTCGGTCGGTCGGTCTAATTCTGAAACAATGAGTTATTTGTCTGAGATACATTGTGTTGTATCATACTTGTTGGAGCGTATCTTGGTCTTAATATCACATTTTATAATATGTTTGGAATTTGGTAAGATTGGATTGGATTTTTATTGAAAAATTTAAAGCTGTGGTGGGGTTTCAAATATATATAATAACAAATTTATTGAGGTTTTATTTTGATATTCATTACATAACCAACTCTTACATTTGTTTATTTGGATCTGCATACGTGTTTGTAATCTTTTTCATTTGGAAAAGGTAATTAAATAACAGAAATATTGGATAGTAAATAGTTTTGAAGTATTACCTAATCAGAGAGATGACAAATTAATATTCGATGATTACAATGAACTATCCTTTTAACTTTGTGGATTAATTTAAGAAAATAAAGGCCTGGCCTGCTATGAGATCAATCAGTCTTCTTCTTCCCTCCTGAGACATGGTTATTAGTCTGTTTTTGTTTGATTATTTTAATCATTTTCTTGTTATTTAGAATTTGGAAAGAAGCTGAATATGTGTTTTTGTAGACGACGAGTAAATGGTGCGGAGAAAAGGGTGTGTTAGTGGCGGTTTACGTAGAGAGGCCGAAGAGGAGGCTGCCGTTATTATCACTACATGAAAAAGATGGCATCAGAAGAAAAGGTTACAACAACAATAGGAGAGCTGAGCTTCTTGACTATGCAAGGCATCTTCGATCATCCGCTTCTACTAAAACCTCACCTTCAACCTCTCCTATCCTACTACCACTTCTCGATGAGGTGCACTTCTATTTCTTTACTTCATATCAAATTAATTCTTGATCGTATTAACAAAAGATTGCCAAATTTTATACATTGTCCACAAATTTGACAGATTCCGGTCGCTGACGAGAAGCCAAAACGTTCAAGCACTCCAAATTGTTTGGACAAATGTAAATTCCTTATACCAAGCTTTGTTAGATCCACGAGAGTCCTCAAAACCACCAAAGAGAAGGAGAAAAAGCCGGTAATTAAAAAAGTCGAATCTGCAGCCACTACTAAGATTATGAAAGCTCTTGTGAGAAAACTCCAGGTGAAGTTTGAAATAATATATTATCATGCTAGGCGTAGCTAACTTGAAACTGAACTTGGAGTATCTGTTTGTCATTTCTTCAGGTGATGAAGAAGCCAACTCTCATGTCACAACTGTTGAAGAAACTGCAGAAACGTCGTCAGGCAAATTCACGCATACTCTGATAGAAAACATCCCTCGATGTTTACTTTTGGCAATGCAAGTTTAGTATAACAAGTTACATTTCCCCAACAATTTACGGTTTCTAGAAACGAAGATTATATATTCAAACAAATGGAATCAATATCTGTTTGTGAACATATATTAAGAATTGAAATGTAAGCCTTTTTATTGCGTACAACTACAAAACATAGGGAGTGTTGGGCTGAAATACTCAAGCGTCAAGTGCAAGTATCGCTAACAAGTATAAAAGTGGATTCGCGAAAGTCGGATGTCGATGCTATATGAAATACTCAAATTATCTAATCCTAAACAAATTATATTCCTATCTATCATCCAAAGGTTGTCAGCTTTTATGATCTAAATAATTAAACTATCTAAGAAAGCAAAAAAACATGATAAGATATCAATAAATATGGACCTAAGATTTTATTTTCCGCCTATGCAAGCATTGCTCACCCAAAACCCCTTAATTATGAATATATGTGTTGGTGGAAATATATACACGCAAGTGCACGTATCATACAAATAATATAATGGACTAAAAGTCCGAGTATCGATCCCACGAGGAATTTTTAACTGTCTAATCCTAAGCGTTAGATTCTCACAATTATGTTCAAACTCACCCTACACAGTCGAATGTTTATTTCATTAACTAAATTAAACTAAATAAAAAAAAACAAAGCAAGCACAAGAAATCAAATAGCACGAATATTTATCAAATTAGAAAGCCCTAGGATTTTATCTTCCCCCTATGTGATTATTAATTCCCCAATTTCTTGAATTATGCAAGTTATAAAATCGGATTACTAACCTGAGATACTAAATTAATCATAACCCGCTTCCCCGTGTATTACGATTCTAATATTCTAGATTCAATTACTGTATTCCTACGCAATGAATTCTAGAATACAACATTAAGCACAAATCTCAATAATAGTTACTTAAGAGATTAACTATATTCTTATGTTAATACTACAAAGGCTCTTCTACCCAAGTTCTAATTGTTAATCCGTTCTTCCGATTCATGCGATTAACAATAACGGAAAAATACATAAAGTGGGCAGTTTCATGCACTTAATAAAACGAGGGTCACTAAATCAATCTGAATAAGAAAAGAAATTAATTAGCAAATGAAAACCAATTTCCAAATAAAACCTTGGTGTCATAATTTTGGAAACTTACATAAACAAATTCTTTTCAACCTACTAATATTGCATCTACAAATTCATCGAAAACAATTTTGTATATACTTATCGAAATCCACTATGCATAAACAACTATATAAACATGAAACCACTCTGTATAAATAGCTATATAAACATGAAAACCACTTTATATACTTATCAAAATTCACTACAAATTCATCGAAAACCACTTTGTATATACTTATCGAAGTCCACTATAAATTTATTGAAATCGACTATGAAATTAACGAAGTCCACTATACAATGCAACAGAAGAATAATAACACAGACATATAAGATTTATGTTTTGGTTTAATTTTTAGAAGAACAATAATAAAAACAGAAGTCCACTAAAAAATAAACAAGAAAGTCCATTATTTATCCACAAATTGCCAATTAATGTGTTGTTTTTATATTATAGTGTTGTTTTTCCTATGATATTATTCATTATTTATCAATTTATGTTTTCTAAAGTAAATTAATATTGTAAAAACAATAAAAAATAATGAATAAATAGTTGTCTACATTATTTAAAGAATAAAACAATAAAACATTAACCAAATTCGAAATATCCTTTCTCAAAAATAAAATAAACAAATCCAGATCCAAAAGCCCTTTAGCTTAATTGAACCAAATACATAAAACAGAATAGAAGAAAAAAATGATAATAACTAACCAAAAAATTTAATAATTTTTACCTTCTTATCAAGTTGTGTAAATGTTGATTAAATAATCTAATAGTTGTTACATTCGTTGAGAGAAGGCTGAAATTGCTAGGATTGAAGCCCCTCGCGGCAGATTTGATTTGACGAAAGTGATATGAGAGGGATCTATGAGTTGTGGATGTCGTCTTCTACGGCCAAATCGATCTGAAAAATTGCAGCGGCAGAGGCTAACGTGATGTAGAAGAGATGGAGAAGATGAAGAGAGAAAATAAAAGAGAGAAAATAAAAGAGAGAAAAGTTGGGCGGTGAAAAGAAAAGTCAGAGAAAGATAAAAGGTTGTGGAATATAGGGTGAAGAATACAGGGTGAAGGGTATAATTGTATTAAAATAATGAAAATTTATTATTTATGGTTATTAAAATTATTTTGGATTTTTCTTAAAGAGAGAAAAAAAAAATATGGGCCCATCTTAATTGTACAATGGATATGAGGGGGTTTGTCAAATAATCCCATGTTTATATATTCTCTCTCTCTCTCTCTCTCTCTCTCTCTCTCTCTCTCTCTCTCTATATATATATATATATATATATATATATATATATATATATATATATATATATATTACAAGATATTTTTATTCTTTTTTATGCATTTTCTGTTTTTAATTATTGTAAAACGAAGAAGTACATAATAATTGTAAAATTGTAAATAACAACATTTTTTTAAATACATTACAATTTACCCCTAAATAATTAATATGCTTACGATTACATTATATATATGAATAGCAATCACACATGCTCAAGGGAAAAAAATGCATTTTCATAGGAACATTCAATAGAATAAAAAAAATTCCGCCAAAAGTAATCCTGTAGGGGTCTACGCAAGACAACAACATACCTTAGGGGGTTTTCGTAATTTCACAAATAGGAGGGCGATTTTCATAATTAGACCTTATTTCAGAGATTTTTCGTAATTTTCCCTAAAATACTCTTATATTTCATATAACATATTATATATAACATTTTGTTTTTTTGTTAAAATCAATCCTATTACATCTTGTATATCAAATATTTTTCCAAATTATACACATTTATACACAATATCCATCATTAACATCGATATATAATTAAATTAAATGCACATTGTAAATGTCTTTACATTTTCATGGATTGTAATGCCTATACATATTATGTCATATTCTTTTTTTAATTAAATTTTTAACTTAGACTTCACGTTTGTAAGATTATTCTTTTTATAAGAATACAACTTTTTTGAATCATAAGTGAAATGCTTCAATGAAATTAAATTATGCTTCACTGATGTGGTGAGAACTTATCCTCCGGCCAAAGTAATTGTAAATGATTAAATATTCTATATAAAATGTACAATTTTTTCATCTTTTAGTTATTCTTCGAAGTGTTTTGTCAATGAAAGTTTCTTTGAAGTTATTGGAAAGTCCAATAAAAATTTCAACCGAAATAAGAACAAAAAACCTATCATTTCTAAGAAATCCAATATTATGAAGCACAGTAGAACAAAATCACTTCGTAAACCTAAAAAATCATTCAACTTAAATAAGAAGAAAAAAAGAATCAAAATTTCTAGGAAATTCGATATTACGAAACATTGTAAAACAAAATAACTTCTTAAACCTGAAAATTCCGACATGTAGCTCTTGATGCACATCTTGTAGAGAAGTTGCCGGTTTATTTCAATGCTAAATTTTTCTTTGTGATGGATGCCAATTTTTTTTAATCTACAACAAAAAATTGAAAAACAAATGAATTGGAAATTTAATTACTAACTATTGAAAAAAGCACTTATAGAACAAATATGAATATTAGTTCACCGAAATGTGAAAGTGGAGAATTGCACTTCTTTCCACTCCACATATGATGTGTTTTATAGTAGCAATTACCAGTATTTAAAGAGTATATTTTATCATTTATTCTCCCAACTCTTCAAATTCTTTTGCTCATTTCCTTGTATAAGTGGAATCGGTTACTCACTACATTGATCATGCACCCATTCATTTGTGGATGCACTACGCGCAGATGTATCAATTTATTATTTTTATGTTACTCAATTTTTTTACTAACTTAATTACCTAGGAAGGGCATTTTTGGACATCCAAAAAATGGAAGAAACCCCAATCATATTCATCCTTTTATAGATAGTATAGATAAGTTGAAGAAAAATAATCCGGAATCAAAACTTGCATAAAATCGTAGAATATGGTTCATAAATCCCACATAGGGTTCGAATAAAATCCTAGAGGAAAAGAGTTTAGCTACTCGTAATTCTTATGATAAACAAAATAGAATAAATAAATAAATAAGAAAAACTATGCTTGAGTCTTCGTTCTTCGCGTTTTGTGGTGGTAAATTTTGTGCTTATGATGTAGAGACGTGTTGCTTTTATAGGCTTTTCTTGATAACGAAGTAGTGGAAACCTAATATGAATCAATTTCTGCCACTTTCCCCCATCAGGATTTGTTCTTCGATTTTTGTCGTGTTGGAGTCCGAATTTTGGAATCTTGCGTGAAATAAGAATTGTAGCCCTTGAAATTAGCTTTCCAAATGCCGCCAAAATCAGCTGATGTGGAGTTCGTATGAGAGAGATATGCTCGAAATGATGGACACAACCAAAGATGTGGCTAGATTCCTTCCAATTTGATTTATTTCCTTATTTGCAACTTTTTTCTTTCTTTTTTATCATTTTTCCTTCATGGACACCTAATTCTCGTTTTTCACCTATAAAACACAAAATCAATCAATTAAAGCACAAACATAGTTAAATCTAAACAAAAGATCCACGTAAAGTAAAAATATTGAGTGTAAAATCTACACTCAACAATATGGTTCTTGATTATTAACCTCAGACACTATATTAATCATAACTCGCTTTCACGTGTATTACAATTTTATTATTCAAAATCAAATTACTATATGTCTATGCGATCCGATTATGAATAAAGCATAATTTTCAACACTGGTTACCTAAGGTGAATATATGTATGTCTACGATACCATATGCAATTAACAGACTAATTCGGTGAAAACTAATCGAAGGTTCTTCTACTTAACGTCTAATTATCAAAATTACTTTGTCGATTCAATTCCAATAATCACAGATAAAGCACATCAATTGATCATATTCATGCACTAACGATAATAACAATAGAAGAAATAATCGTAACATCATAATTGCATACTCTCAAGAAAACGGGTTCACAATCCCCACAATGGATGCAATAAAATCCTAGATAAAAATTTAGCTACTCATTTTCTCTACGAAAAACATCATAAAAACATTAAAGA